TTTGCTTTGATGCGTGAGTGCTGATAAGCCATGGCATAAAAGCCATTAAGAACGCGAAGTATGGTCTTGGTAGTCTAAAGGGTGAAAACCACGGTGCCCGGCTGACACAAGTTCGGGTTGGAGTCGTCCGAGGCCGAAGTCGCCAGCCTTGGGAGACTGTTCGTTAACAGGAGTTAACAAAACATCAAGTCGAAACAAATTATCGGTTCAGTTTTTGCGGAGTGGTTCCTTAGAACAAGATCGCCGAAAAAAGACACTGAACAATTCAAAACACATTACTTGCCTTCTTCCCCTTCTCTTCCTCTTCTTCATCTTCTGATGACGACCCGTGCCGCTCGTCAGCTTTCGCCTCGCGCTTCAAAAACAAAACTATGAAAAAAAAAACAAAGAAACTGAACAAGAAAGAACTATGTATCCTTATTTCACTCAAAGTCCACACGTTGAAAAACAGACAAAGTTATTTGTCTTGTGAGGTCCCTCAACCAGACATTTTCGCTCAAGAACAAAAAAGGAAACAAGTCAAAAGCTGTTCCTTAACGCAATCAGGAAAGTTTTGAGGACAAGTGAATAGACTACCTTCTGATCCATTTTCTTCCTTTTCTTGGTTTTCTTATTTCCACCTTTGTCTGATTTCTTCTCTTCCTTTTCTTCCTCTTCGCTGGACTTCTATTTATCACCACATACATTACAAGAACAAATGCCTGCGGGCTTCTTAAGTGCAATAAAGGTTCAAAAGGAATTTACGCACCTCCTTGTTAGAACTTTCGTCGTCGGAATCATCGGATGAGGAAGAACTTGACTTATCACTCTCGCCTGCTTTGTCCTTCTTTGATGTATCATTTGACGGCTTTTGTTTCTGAAATGGGACTTTTCATTTTCAAACCCGAAACACACAACCGTTTGGGTACAGGGATAACTGGAAATAGGAAGAGGTTGGGAGTAATCAGCAAACTAGGCATGGAAATCATAAACGCACGAAATCATAAACCTACAACTACTCTCAATTAGTACGTGAGCCTACCCGGGAAAATAATATCCTTAAAAGATATATACTGCCAAGACTGTCAATTTCAATTAATCGCTCACAAGGTGTGATAAGATGAAGAATAAATCATGACATGAAGACTTGTGCACCTTTTTTGTATCTTTTTGACTTTTTTGACTTTTTTGCTTAGTATCATTGTCGTCTGGCGATGACGTAGATGGCTTGGCTTCCTCATTATCAGAGTTGCTCTGAAACGAAGCTTAAGAAGCATCATTTTCACTACTGTCGATGAAGGATGAGACAGAAAATTCCTTCAATCCTGTCTCTAAAGGTTACGAAACCTCATTCAGCTATAAATAATTACATTTTCTGTATCATCCTTCATTTATAAGCAAAACCTAACCTCTGCTCCATCCCCATTAGTGGCTTCATGCCCCTTGCTGTCCACGGTGTCTTTCTCCTAAAGTGTATGGTCAGAGATTCATCATGATGGGATAATACTCCATGGAAGAGATAAAGAAAGCACAGCAAAAAAAAATCGGAGCTCTACCTCACTAGAACGGTTTTCCTTCTTTTTTGCGCTCTTTTCGTCTTCAGAATCCTTCTCGTCCTTACTATCTTTGTCGCTAGTCGCGATGCCCAAAGGAATCTCGTCACTGTCGAATTCATCCTCTAACGGCTGAACAGTCACAGCATGAACCCTTTGATGGCCAAGCGGTGTTTTGAATTGCTTTATATAACAAACTTGATGAAGCTAATGAGGGAGAAATGGAAACTTATGCCAGACAAAAAATAGGCACACCAGCGAAAAGAAACCACATTAAACAGTTTCCTGAACATCTCCAAAACTAGTTTCAGGATGATAGCGGATTTGATTGAAGTTACGTAACTTTTGAAATGTGAGCTTCCGACGACTTGGCCAGAGTGATTCATGCAAGAACAAAAACTTGTTGATTACGTATAATCCTGAGAACACTCACGGGTTTTCTTTTCTTACGCCTTCTCTTTTGTTCGTGATCACTTTCTTCCGACTCCTGCAAGCTAACTAAACATAGCATATTATGCAAAAACAAAGATTCCTACCACTAGGTAAAAGACACTATGAGAGGGCCCAAAGTAACACAACACAAAAATACTTTATACTTACAATACTGGAATTGTTTTCCTTATGTTTCGTCTTCGTGCTTTTTTCATTACCGGAATCTTTCCCATCTTCTTCACCTTCACCGTCGCCACTCGCGCCGCCCAAGGGGTTTTCATCGCTGTTGGATTCGTCCTCTAGCGGCTAAACAACGAATGTTCCCTTTTTACAGTCGCTCGTTTCACTACACAAGTGGCCGTTTTACAAACTCTTCCACTTGTCAAACACAATTTCGAAAAGTTTAGTCTTCGATGTTACGAGCTTGACGAATCTTAAGGTAGGTCAAACTAGTAGCAGATCAGAAGTCGAAGCACGAACGCAAACGAAACCTCATTTCCAATTTACTTTGTTCCAGAACCCCTGTTGAAATCTTACTCCTATCCTGTTGAACTGTTGAACTCCACATACTTCAAATGATACTGAACTCAATAAATGAAAGACACGATTCTACTGAGATGTTATCTTGAAACGACCACACAAGAAACGTTCAGGCAGAAGCAAGCCTGAAGCTCAGATGTTATCCTCAAAACACTCACGGGTTTTCTTTTCTTGCGCTTTCTTCTCTGTTCATGATCACTTTTTTCGGACTTTTCGGACTCCTGCAACAGAGTTTACGTTATGACACGATCAATGAGTTGAAAACAAACAGCCTTATGTGTGAAAGACGTCAATATGCAATTGAGCTGAATTCTTTAAGTTCGTTGACCATACTTTTTGTAGAGGAACAATCTCTTTCAGCACAAAAAGCAGCAATAGCAGTAATGTACAGCAGTAATGCCGATAACAAGCCCAAATAGAATTCACTTTTTCGCTATAGCAGCCGTTTCTTAGATACTTAAAAATATATTCGCAAACACGGTAGCAGAAAAATGTTTTGCTTTCTTTTCGTAAATACGCGCCATTGGAAAATAACAATATATACCAAAAGTGAATTAAGGGATGATCATGGCAAATTCAAACATAGCAGGCGCGTATTTCTGTAGAGTTCCAGGTATTATTAGTGAAAGAGTATAATAGCTAAAGGTAAAACATAAGCAAAAACGTAAAGCTTCCCAGCGCCGTTTCGAGAGTCTTTACTTAACGAAGCAGTTGAACGGGTCACATTAAGAAGTAGCGCATAGAACTGATATAAAAATGTTTTTAACTCACACTTGCACTTGATTCTGTTTCAATCTTCCTTTTCTTTACCACATCTTTCTTGCTTCTGAAAATACTAATATTAGATCATGCTTAGCTGAGCAAAATGCAGTGTTAGACGGAGCAATGCAAACGAATCACCTATCACCTCCCATAATGTAGGAAAATCGCGTGGGAGCGTGGGAAGCTACAAATATTCAAGATTGGTGGAGCAGGAGAAGATGTAGTTGGGGAAGGGAGTGGAAGGATCACCAGGGTGGACAAGCTTTCAGTATTTCGTACGAGGTAATAATACCATCTATCCCGGATTTCCTACACTTCTAAGGCTAAGTCAAAGCTATATCACCCTGGGCCTAAAACCTCATAGGAATGCGCAGATGACGGATGCCAAGCTACTGTTCGTCCCTGACCCCCAGTGTACACAACCTAAGTTAATCTTCTGTTATACTAACCTGTTATGTGTGCAGTTGACCCCCCTTAACCAACTAGATTCCCACCGGTGAAGCATACTATGTAATAGGTACATTAGAGGTAGCGCATGAGATTTTCTGAGCAGTTATTGTTAACTTAAAGGGAGACGACCTATACAAGCGTTAGTCAATCATGAAGGGGAGCAATCGGGCAACATTTGCATAATGGCTCCCACCCTTTATGAGGTGGAAAAGAAAAGTAAAAGCAGAAGAGTATAATATGTGAATATTGGTAACCCCTCCGCATAAGTTACGCAACGGCAGCTCTGTTAACGGCTTATGCGGTTTGATTTCATGAATGATATGGCGAACCAACCTTCACAAACCACGAAATTTCTCTATTCTTCAAGTTTATAGGAAAATTTTTACCATTTTCATAGATTCGAGGAAAAAATCAATTGCCCCAAATGCCCCAAAACGATCTGAATATTTATTGATCTCATAAAGACTCGAGGTGAGCAAAAACTTTTGGGTGAAGGCGTAGGGGTGGGGGAAATCCTTACATGACAATGCTGGTATCAAAAGAAATTAACACGGTACTACGTGTTATTCCGTATATACCAGGAAGTTCTCTACTAAGCCTTGGGAGGGAAGCAGCTCCAAAGTGGGCGATTTTTCAGCTCTTCGCTTGAGGTCATCAATTCACCCTCCCCTGTGCCCCTACCTTTCTAAAGCTTAGTCATAAAAAGTTATATCCCCCTAACTAAAACCGCACGATAACCACAAATGACCAGTGACCCTGAGCACTCTCCTTTTCGTTTCTGACACAGTGTTGGTATACCACGGATAACATATCAACCGTTAGTTTCTCCTTATACTTACACTGCTATGTGCAGCATATGTATGTCATTCCCCCCCCCCCCCCCCNATTTTAGTTTTATCTCAACTACTCGTTTAGATGGGGCAAGCTACCTGACCATGTTGAAAATTTAATTAATCTACAGGATAACATCTAATGAGATTACAATAATAGCTTACCTTTTTTTATCGCCCACTCCACTCTTCTGCTTCACCTTCTCGGCAACTACAGCAAGGGGCACATCATCATCGCTAGTTGACATACTCTGCAGTTACAAGTATTGTTTGTGAATGAATACATTGTAATGAACCGAACACCAAATAAATGAATGGATGTTTATCTATGACCAGTGAAAAACCCTATTGGCAAATGCTATGCTCAACATCTTCATTCACGGAGTGGAAAAGCTCAAAGCTACAGCCTTCTAGTAAAATATTACTTCAATTGTAACTCTGAACTATTAGGGCAGCTAAGTAACAGCGCAATTTCCCAGTACTTCTAAGCTTTACCTTATGAGATTACCTATTTCAAAGTGATTTATATTTACGGACCAGGTACCCGAGTATTTAAGGATTTATTAGCCGCTCTAATATAATGTTACATACCCTTCCAGTCCACAGTAATCCTGACGTGCCTAAAAATAGAATAAGGGTTACAGGGACGTTCGCCAGTTAAATGGTCAGTTCAGATTTGGCTTTGACGAACATCACTGTAATTGTTAACTGTCACAGGCTCAGAGTCTACTTATTTCCTAAAAAAGGCGAAGTTGTATAAATATGACAACAGAATAGACGATTGGTCATAAATATAATTTAGGACAGGTCCAAGAACGACCAGAACGCAATCCCGAGGGTAAAATCCAATCAGAGCAGCTTGTTTGCTATAGAGTGGTCGATTTTGTCAAAAAAAATTTGACAACTACCAAACTCTTCCCAAACAAAAACTCTTTCTCCACCTAACTAGCCCTTCCCAATCACTCCTGTCATCTACGATGTAGGTTGAAAGACTATTCAAAGTAGGTTTGCTATTATGTGGAACCCCTATAACGGATCATACTTCCCATCTGTGGACCATCGCTTCAAAGGGACCCAGTGATGGAGGGTTATGTGGAAGATTCGTGAGATGCAGATGCTCAATCATATCGGTGCCTTTGAAGCAGAAACACTGTTTCCTAATTACCGTATACTTTTGAACGTCTAAATTTGATACACAGTGGGAGAAGGTATAAGTAAAACTAGAAACAGATTCGGGTCATGGACTTGGACCAACGATGCGTCGAAAGACCTGGTATAATTTTTCGAAGCCATTTTCATGAAAGTGATGGCCGTAATGATGTACCCCTTTATTTTTCCTATTACCGAGACTTGTTGACATCCTTAAACTTCATATGTAATATTTCACCGCAGGAATAGTTCCTGAGCCACCTGGATGCCAGCGATGTTGCCTTTTATAATTTTATTGCAATGCCAGACGAACAGTTGGTTCAACCATCGAAAAAAAGTTTTAGGATTCTAGTAGTTGTAATAAGCCCTACCCAAATGGGCGAAAAGCATGAACCGTCTGCACCTAGACCTTGCTGGAAGAGAAAACTTACACAGAACATGTAATGTAGGTAATGTATCGTGGATTCGAATCAATCAATTTGTGAATCACTGTGAATCACAAATCGTATGGTATCACCGCGACCATGACGATATCATAACATATATGATACGCAACAGTTGAAAATTCAGCTTTCATGCAAAATCTTACCCTGGTTCCCGGTGACAACGCCCACTGATGCCATCGTTAAGTATAAATGCTTCGTACGACTTTTAGTGAGTCTTGGCGTAGATTACCGATGTTTGAGATGAAGTTGTGAAGCCTTTGTTAAAATAATGCAGCTTTACAATACGAAATTTTCAGCCTTCCTGCCTTGGGCAGAGACTGGCAACCAAAGGTTTTGATGATTCATCTCTATTAAACAGAATTTCAGAGCTTCAACTTGTTTCAAATATAGGCTATAGATAGATCTCAACAGGATTTACCTGATTCACTAGAACAGCCTAGGTACCTACACTGCTATGCCCTGTGCATGAGCTGATATGCAGTTTGATCGAAATGAATCAGGTAATGTTGGCCCTTATTGTTTATTATTAGCTCACAGCAATTACATGCAACTGGATTGGTCAAAATGACCTCTTTCGCAGAAACTGATTGAACGATAAACTGCATATGCTGAATACGCACATACTATGACAACGAGAACCGACTTCTTCAGTATCTGTGAGGAGCTTCGCAGTAAAGTGTATTCCAGTCACTAATACAAGTTGTTTCCCTTTCTATCTGGTTTCTACCCCATATTAAGCTATCCAAATTCCCCACAGCTCTGCTTCTTACTCATCATTTGTGGGTAGTGTTAATTAACACCAAGGTCAAACGTCGACTGGCAGCCACGAGCAGGGAGAATGGCAACAAAGCTATTTGTGAAAATCTGGATCAGCCTAAACTCCCGATCTTAACGAAAATGCACAGCCTGATGCGAGAGAAGCGTAATGCCAGCGGTAAGTCATACACACTGCTTCAGAGTACTTATGTGTGAGGGGTTAGACAAAGGCCATAACTCATTGCCAAAACCTCATTCAGTCGTAAACTTTTGGTAATGATCCCTGGGAAGCCATCCACTTGCACTCATTGTTTGGTCGTATCACGGATGCAGGCGTTGCCAGCTCCTATTGTATGCGACCTTTGGTGACCGGTGGGAAACGGTTCCTTCTTGAATTTCGTTTTCCAACAAATCAGAAGAGCTCTCAACGCAGTATCTTCCAAGGCATGGGGAGAGCAGAGTCAACCAAATCGCTTCCAACCCAATTCTTGTCACCGTTCCTGCGAGGTCTCACCCATGTGCAGAGACCTGCTGAGAGTAGGATATTCACCTCGAAGTACATGTAAGGGTACAACACAGCCTAACTAATGACAGCATACACATTCAGTTATTACTGCTGTTAACTCATTTCGGTATTCCAGTTAATATATGGACACAACCAATATGATTGCTTTCCAACCAAAGATACGGTAACTCGCAATACGAGAATGTTCCACACTAACTACTGCAATAATATTAATTACAAAAACGGATTATCAAGAGATCAGAAAATACAGATAATTACAATTACAGTACTTATTTTACGCACATACCTTTTGTGACAACACGAAATTGAGTAGCAAAAATGTATAATGTGGCGAGATTTTTTAGAAAAAAAATTGAAGGACTTCCTCAATAAAGGGAACAATTAGAGAATCTTCAATAAAGGACACAATCAGAGAATCGTTAACATGACTAGAATGGCATCTGAACTACGAAGAATAACAGATGGGATAGAGGTGCTCACAAATAACGAGGTGTTTAAATCACATTCGTTGGATGACTTCGTATCTGGTGGAGTAAAGCTTAAAATACGAGGTTGTCGCGAAAGTTTTCCGCCGCTCACTTCTATAGGTTGCGATTTTAATTTTTTNTTTTTTAAAAATCTCTGAAATGACTATTCATTCATTCAAACGTATAGATAGGCTAGCAAGCAAGATATACAAGCTTCATCATAAGAATGAGATGCTACCATTTATGGTTGCCTACTCCTAGACTCCACGAGTTTCGCCAAAGATATCGAGGAACAAGGAACATGCGAAGCTCCACGGAACATAGAAATGTGCATGAGCTGTTTACTGTTTCCAGCAGAACTGTTGCTATCTAAGTTTACAGTACTCAGTAATCGCACTGTCATTGTAGATCGGAAAGAACAGGGTACATTTCTGTACCACACCTATGGTCCCAGAGATCCAGAAAAATTCAAAGCTCTGAATGGAAAGGCCAGACTAAACCACTGTATTCACTAGGATTGACGCAGGAGACCATCACATAATCCTGTCACCAGCTGGAAGCCATTGTTCCCACTATAGGGACCAAAGTGAAAACTACCTCACGGAGCTCCGCTTCAAAACACCAGCGCCCTTCAGTAGTATACTATAGGGACCAAAGTGAATACCCTACGGAGCTCCGCTTCAAACACCAGGGCCCTTCAGTAGTAGCACCAATTAATAATTGGCAGCACGTTGGTTATAGAGGCTTCTGCATTCGTTAATCACTAATTGTACTAAAAATGGAAAATATTCCAAAACTATAGTTTGAGGGGCGCAAGACTTTGGCGACAAATGGACACAAACTATAATCTTACATAGACATATGAAATAAAACCGACTGTGGCCGAGACGCTCATAGATAGGAGCGTCGCGCGCAAAGTTGTGCAGCAACCGCGATCCGCCTAACCCATCGTAGTCGTCGCACAACCCAGGGGCGATGTCTCGGCCTGTTTGTCAGTATGCTTCATCGTATCAGCTGTAAAATGTGGACTGGCCGCTTCCGTAACGCTCGGGGTCTGATTTCAGAGCGCAAGGGCTCGGCGCTAGACACCTGCTGGCGAAAAAATACGCATATTGCCTCCACTAAAGTGCATTGGGCAACCTTATATAGCAGTCCTTATTATTTCCTGACACCCTATTCTTACGTTTAAAACTTGTCAAAAACCCTAAATATGTATACTTGTACTAACACAAAACAAGTCTTTGGTGGAATGAACAACACTTTTGAACTTACTCTCTACTCATCTGGGTAACCGGCTTTAGTCAGAACCGGGTTGAGCAAGAGTTAGCATTTGAACCCTAAGAACTTGTGGAAGAGGAACAGTCCGCACAACTACTTTTTGAACTGTTGGCGGTCCTTGGACTGTTGCAGTACCCACAACAGCTTCATGACTCGAAAGCGGAGCAGCTGTGGTTGCTGAAGGACCATGAACTTGAGAAGATGTACAAAGGTCGCGAGTGAAAGCCGCTTGCGAAGTATTCACGCAGCCACACTGGGGCTCTGGAATTCCGACGGGCTGCTGGTCGATCTGAAGAAAACATTGAGGATCCCATGAAAGGCATGAGGCCAGCTGCAATAAAAAGCACAATGATTAGTGTGTGAATGTGTTCGAGTCTTCTGATCAAACCGACAGTGTAGCACCCTGCTCCTGCATAATATATTTCAAGCAAGAAGTGAACGTGAAATCACCTTAATCGACTTCAGTACACCAAGTACAGTTACTAATATTACAGATTGGCTATTTACTGTATACCCCTCAAACAGTCCAAAAAATCGATTATGTTTTACCACTACGATCTCAGACACGCAGCCTGAGCAGAGTAGATAAGCATTGTCGCAGCGTAGTGGCTATTGCAAAGTATAAT